CTAATGACCACCAGCTGAGTACAATCACCTCCTCTAAGTGCGTAATTGTTCCGGATGCCTAGTAGCTCTTCGATGTGCATCCAGGAACAACTCACTGCTGGCTTCTGGATCACTCTCCCTTGTCTCCTCCCCACTGGTCCAAGGCTGACGCCACCTGGTGGCCAACCAGTCTCTCTGCGCCCTTCTCGGAGTCGGCACCCTGTCCAGGGTCCTCCACATCCTCCAGAGCCGACTCATAGGGCCCCTCGCTGTCGGAGCCTGGTGGCAGCTCCAACGGCTCCTGCTGGGCCACAACACCTAATTATTGACCGGAAATTATCAGGCCTTAGGAAGTGCTGTACTATACTGAATTTTTGCAACTTTACTCTTCTATAGAAAGGCCTCTTTTCTAAAACATTTGTCATATATAATTTTAATAATTGTCCTTGAATATAAATCATTTGGTAACTGCTAGGCAATTCTGTAGCTGCAATTCTTCCTATTCCAGGCTTTGTGGAATGTGAAGGTAGTGTCAGCACCCTCAACTATTTGCACCACTGCCCCGTTCAGATTAGGACTTAATCAAGGTCTGCACACATGGCTGTCATAAGCTAAAAGCGGCACGTTCTACACTTGAACCTTTTATTTACAGAGAGCCTCCAGTATCTACAATGAAAAATTAGTTGAAAATAGTTGGTCAAAATTAATGTTGCCTTCTGTAGTGGTGGAAAGCTTGTGGACTCTACAGAACCATTCTGCACTGTTGTGACCTGGAATGTGATCAAAATGTTATCTATGAACTGATAGTAAAGATAGTCTATAAGGCAGTCTGGTGCAGTGGGTAAAGCAACAAGGTAGAAACCGGGAGGCTGGGAGTCAACAGTGACTTACAGGCACACAAAAAATTAAAGCAGTACATAAAAAAGTATATTCTTTCATCTTGATGGTAGCCTCTTCCTTTTGGAGTGATCTTTTCTCCAGATACAACTGATCCCAATCCTGCAGGCCTTTAGACGTTTCCCCAGGCATTTGGGTCAGGATGAATAAAGTCCCATTTGGATGAATTACAGTGTATTTAATTTTGATAGCTGTCCGGTTAGTAGTTGGTTGGGAGGAATATCCAACACCAAGATAGGCTGAAGATCCAGGTGGATCTTTAAAGAGTTGAATCCTGGGCCCTATCGAACAAAATGAAATTTAATGGAGAGAAACGTAAGGTTTTGCACGTAAGCAAGAAAATCAAATGTACAGGTACAGATTAGGTGAAACCTGGCTCAATAGCAGTAACTGTGAAAGGGATCTTGGAGTCTAAATGAATAATCACTTGAAAATGAGCTAGCAGTGTGCGGCAACAGCCAAAAAAGCCAACCCAGTCCTAGGCTGCGTTAATAGAGGGATAGAATCAAAATTACCTGAACTATTACTGTTTTATAAAGCCTTAGTGAGACCATGCTTAGAATATAGCATCCAGTTTTGGTCACTATATTATAAAAAAAAATGTAGAGACTCTAGAAAGAATGCAGAAAAGAGCAACAAAGACAATTAAGTGGCTGGAAGCTAAAACATTTGAAGAATTGTTACAGGAATTGGGTTTCTCTGGTCTAATGAAAAGGAGTAGGGATGACATGATAGCAGTGTTCCAATATTGAGAGGCTGCCACAAAGAAGAGGGGTGTGTGTGTCAAACTGTTTTCCAAAGCACCAGAAGACAGGAACCAATGGATGGAAACTAATAAGGAGAGAAGCA